AAAATTCTCCTTTTTAGAAAAGGGCCCATATTGTCGGTTTTTCGTATTTTCAAAATTAAGAGGGGGGGGGGGGGTGGTTTTAAAAATTTAAAACCTGTTGGTTTTTTATCTTCAAGGTGCTCTGAACTGGAAACAATTCTTATCTGAATAACTTCCAAGTAGAACCAGAGATACAACAATTAGTTGATATCGCAATCTTTAATTCCGTTTTTCTCGAAATGAGGTTTGTAGCGTTCTAAACTTTGAAATTTCGTAACTCAGCGAATTTTTAACCAAAAAAGTTCTAAGACCACTCAAAATTTTCCAAATTTTGCCAGGAATACGCCCATATAGATAACTCCAATAGTGCCAAAATGGGCCCTTTTCATGTGGACGTCCACATATATGTGTATAAACATACATTTCTATAGAGTAACAAAATCTTTATAAAATGGAATTTTTATATTTAAATGAAGTTTTAACAGAAGAAGTTTTACCCAAAAGAATTAAGCTCATTAAAGTTCACATAAACGTTTACGGTCAACGATTAAAAAAAGTCTTAATTTGTTCACAAGATAAACAGTTAAAATGAAATTTATTTACTTATATTACGCGGTATAAAAAAAATTCTTCCCTGACACAAAATAAAATTCTGATTAACTCCAAAAATTATTGGATACTTAAAAAGATATTCTATTACATTTATTTACGAATTTCTCTAATTGTAAAATTATTCGAAAACATCAATAATAACTTCTGTTTTAAATAAATATTTAGTTGGTAGGGGAGAGTGGTCCTAGGTTAGCCGCCTAAGCAAATTGGTCGAAAATAGTAACAAAATGAAATTTAATCAAGTCAGCAAGTATATTTTAGAAAATGAAGCATTGTTTTATTGTATTTATAATCAGTGGTGGATGGCTGCGGAGACTGGCATTTTTATAGTAGGGGAGGATGGGGCAAGGATAGTTAGTTGCTGTTATGGTTAGACGGCTTGCTCAGAAATCGCGTAAATCATGGTATATTCGCGTCTTAACACCAAAAGATGATAGTAAAAATTGGAAGGCAATCTGTCACCATTTGCGAAGTTACGAGTTTATTTTTGAAAAAAGTCTGTTTTGCTAAAATGGCAACGTAATGTTTATATATCATATTGTTTTCTATATTAGAGTTTCAAAATATTTATTTACGTAAGTGCACGGTAAAATCCTGTTAATGACATTGCAAATTTTAAAAAAGTGTTTAATTGCTCTTTTTAGGATGATATTCATAATGGTGCGTAATTGTATACGGAAAACGAAGCTTATTGACCAAGAAATTGGTGGTCGTCTGAAGAAAATTGGTTAAACCTCTGATTCTAGTTCAAATGAATTTAATACAATAATTAAAATTCAGAAAATGTTCAATAGGGGAGAGTGGGGCAAAGGCGCTATGCGGGGCAAAGACGTTTTTTAAAATATCTCCTTTATTTTCTGTCTATTCCAATTGGTATTAAAAATTAAGTTGCAATGCAATCAGACCAATTGATTAAAAAAAGAAAAACCTAAAAATATCAAATATTTTAAGAAATATAACAAAAAAATTGTTTTGCAAAAATAAAATGATAATTTTACTGAACAAACTTTTATTTTTTAAAACATAAGTTTAAGTATTTAATTTTTAAAAACGTAACATGTAAATAAATTAAATATTTCTCTACACAACTGGAGTGGTGTTTTAGTTTAATTTTGTATCTAAATATTTGAAATTTAAAGTAAAAAAAAGTTTGTTATGTGGGGCAAAGGCAATATTGAACATAATTTGGTTAAAAACAATTGAATATTCGAATTTTCTATGTATTAATTCACAATATAAGGTTAAAATCACTAAAAGTTTTTATTTTTTATTTAAATAGTTTAATTCTTTTAATAATATGTTGTTAACCTTATGTTTTGTAAATATTATACTAATAAATATCACTTGTTAATTTTTTTAAGGCTTATAAATGCTTTCTTTTAGAAATATAAGCGAAAACGTCGCTGCCCCAGCGTGTGGGGCAAAGACATTTTTTGCATTGTTTTTAAATTTCATTAAATAATGTATTTATAATTATAATATACTAAATAACAACTATTAAAATTTCTTCTTGATTAGTTTTAGAATAAGAAAAAACAAAGACCGCATAAATTAATTGCTTAATTTAAAAAATATACATCGTTAAATGTAAACCTAGCGCCTTTGCCCCACTCTCCCCTACATATTTTTAATACTTGAGATATCAATATTGAATAGTCTAAATCCAATAAAATAAAGAAAACGAAAATTTACTAATTTTCTATAACATTTTTAGCATTCGAATTCTTTTAACTATCCTTGCCCCGGTGCTGGGGTGAGAATTTTTTTTTACTTTTTCATTCGTATCTCGTAGGGATTTTCCATAGGAATTAAGATTTTCAAAAATTTGAAATTCGAACCTTGGGGTCATTCACAAACTACGTCACGCTTTTTCGGACTGATTTTTACCCCCCTCCCCTAGGAGTGTGACGGAGTTTGTGAACGACCCGCTTTTGAATTATTAAAATTTATAATTAAAGTCATTAAAAATTGAAATTTTCTAAAATTTCAAATTGAAACCTCTTGAAGTTCATCTATTCATGAAAATTATAAACGTAACTATTAAAATTCAACTAATTTTTAATTAATATTTAAGTAAAATTGTTCATTAAATAATTTCTAAGTAATAATTTTATATTTTATGATTGATACAATTTTCACACAAAAGTTTTAAAAAAATGTTGTTACACAAAAAATAGTTTTTCTTCTAAATTATTGATCATACAAACATCTGTGATACGAAAATATTAATTTTTCAATAAGAAATAGAAATGAGGAACGTGTCCATGAATTGTTTAGCTGATCATATATATGTCGTAGGCAAATATAAGAATTCGTCATTTAGCTAAATGCCTAGGCAATTAGCTAAACGGCGCCGAATAGACAAATGAGCTTCATTATTACTGTTATTCGTCTATTCGCCTGGAAGGATTAGGCAATTAGCTAACTGGCTAGGCATTTAGCTATTCGACAAACGCAGTTTAGGCAAATAGAAGAAAATGATAAATTGAAAAAATATTTTCATTTATTGAAATATTTGATATTTTATTTATTATTACAAGGTTGTCTCTGATGACAGCGCGAGTTGCATAGTGTTCCTGACTTAAAACACTCTAGAGAGTAAGAGAAGTATTATTATACTAAATAAAATTTCGTTCTTACATGTTCCTCTCTAACATTTAATAAAGCTATTAAATTTATTTTGTTTCAATTATTGTTTACAATTTATCACGATGTGTATTTTTGTATAATATTTATTAAGATATTAAACTTATTTTCTTTCAATCTTCTGTTTACAATTTATAGCTCATATTTAACGGAAAATAATGCAAATAAGACGTTCCAATATTTCAATAAATGAAAATATTTTTTCAATATATCATTTTCTTCTATTTGCCTAAACTGCGTTTGTCGAATAGCTAAATGCCTAGCCAGTTAGCTAATTGCCTAATCCTTCCAGGCGAATAGACGAATAACAGTAATAATGAAGCTCATTTGTCTATTCGGCGCCGTTTAGCTAATTGCCTAGGCATTTAGCTAATTGCCTAGGCAGTTAGCTATAAATGACGAATTCTTCTATTTGCCTACGACATATACAAGCCTGAAAGGCAACATCGGCATAGCACACACGCACAGCATGCCTCTCTCTCTATATACTTTCCAGTTTAATCTTTCTTTTGTGACTCTGCTGTTTTAGCGTTTTTATTTGGCCTGCTAAGACCCAGCCTCCAGGAGAGTAAAGGAGGTCCAATGCCTCAGGCTTATTAGTCGGAAAGAGAGACACTGCGAAATCAACCGCATGAGAGAGAGAGAGAGAGAGAGAGAGAGAGAGAAATGCAAAGAAAAAAAGATGAAAAAAATATAAAGAAAACGAGCAAAAATTTTAAATATAAAAAGGTAGTTAGAACTTCAAGGAATTTCAATCAAGAAATAACTTCTTTTAACATTGTTAATTGTTCATTATGACCAGTCATTATTAGTCTTAATGAAAATGTAAATTATAATGAAGAACAATAAAAATAATGATAATAAAATATAATGATTATTATTTAATTTTAAAAGAATGTGAAAAAAGCTAATTTATTTTGCCTGTAAAAATATTTCCCAAATTTCAGTTTTTGGTTTTTTGTACACACTCGTGTATTTTGAATGAATATGTTGAAAAAAATATTACGGGATGTTAAATTGCAAAAAAGAGAGATAAAATAAATTAAGAGCTATATCTTTTAATTGTTTGCTTCCTATTCGTGTTGAGTGACAAAAGGGGAAGATACAACTTTATGATAAATCGCATTGTGTGGCGCGGGTCTCGAAATTGATAGCAGATTTTCGTCACGCGATCCTTTCTTACGTAAGACAAGCTAAAAGACAATTTAGTGATATAAAAATTTAGAGAAAAGAGAGATAAAAATAAAATGTCGTGTATAATCTTATATGTGTAAAGTAGCAACTAATTTTTGTCATCAACTAATGTCCATTCACAATAAGGATTTATCTACAAATCTGTTTCGCTAAATTATCTCGTAAATCTTTTTTTTCTTTCTTTACGAACTTCTCCTGAAATAATTTCTTTCTTATGGGACAAAATTAACACATTTAAAACACACGAGATGAAGAACTGATTTAAAGATTTGTTTGCATTAAAATAATAATAATAATTTTAGTTTAATACAGATTTAATAAAAATAATTAATAAATTAATGAGGAACATTAGATTAAATGAAATTCAAATTAAACAAAATGTTTAATTTATTCATAAAAAATGAAAAGCATAATAAAAAATGTCTATGACAATGGGATTTTTTTAAAAACTATATTGAGATGATTTTATTGAGACACAGGGAGATAAATTAAAAAATTCTTCTCATCTCTAAAAAACTGGAGGTGAAAAAGTCGGGCGGAATTAATGAAAAGGGAAAAGAAAATGTTACCTTGGTAAACGAGATATCGCTGCTCAAGAAGCGGAGGCATAAATAATTTTTGAATTTAATAAACGTCTCCTATAAAAGTTGTCTTCGCCGCAAATAAATATCTGTCCGCTCTTTGGACACACAAGCGAGCCTGAATATGTATATATGATGGACGTCATTCTTATCTTTTACGACTTTCCAGCGGCTACTAATTAGAGGAAAAAGATAATCGGGTTTTGTTTTCTATATCCACTGATGAGCCTCTCTTTTCTTTTCCCACAAAAAAATCTATATTAGACATAAAAAGTAATCACAAAATTAGTTAAAAATCATTTAATTCGGTTTAATATCATTCGAATAATACACTAATTATTTAATATATGGTTAAAACAAGGAGAATTTAGATAAAAAGTAAATTATAAAAATTAAATTATGCAATTAAAATAGAAATTATTCCTTTAAATTAAATAAAAGCGAAAATATAAAATATTCTTTAAAAAATCTATTAGTAAATTTTCAAGAAATTGATTTTGCAGTAATCACTCGATCCAATTGAAATTTCTAAGAAATAATATAAGAAACTCAGCGAAGAACATTAAATAGCGAAAATTGGTAGTTGGCGTCCAGTTATTTATCTGAATATTGTAACCTACTTACTTCAAGTCATAAATAAGTTGGTTAAAAAGTAATAAAATCATAATTCAAAATTTAAAAGAACTTATCAAAACAAAGGAAATATTTATTAACTTCTATTAATTTTATCATTCAGAAAATTCAAATACTAAAATTCTAAATGTAAGGGAGCGTTCATAAACTACGTAGCATGCTAAGGGGGAGGGGCGGGTTCGGCAAAAGTCTACGCTAGTCTACGTGGGGGAAGGGGGGGAGATCGACTCTTACTACGTAGTTAATACATATAAGCTAAAATTAATTTTGCGTCTTTTGAAATTGCGCGGGACCGAATTGTCACGTGGTATACCAAGTCGGCGCAAACTCACTACCCGTTGCCATTGTTAAATGTTGCTATATGCCAAGAATAATATATTTTATTCAGAATATTTGACATTGTTTTTAATTTAATTTTTAATGGTTTAATGCGAATATGTGCCTGTCCACGACAAAACACGGCTTAGGTCAAAAAAATCAATTTTGAGTTTTTTATGGTAATCGACAGATTTTATGTTGCTTTTTCAAATGCAAAAGTCAAAAGTTAAAAATATCAATTACTTTCGACAATATATCGTTTTAAAGATGGGTATGTCAAGCGTATAGTTAACTTCAATCGTAGTAGAGGAGAACGGGGCGAGGCAGCTAATTGCTTCTTATTTCTGCATAATTTTTTCAAATCGTGCGGTATTGATAATTTAGACTGCTTATGGTAGTTTACTTTAGTTGCTGACAGATGGGCATTATTGCTGCAGCAGTTTAGCAATGACAGTATCATTTATGAAAACAGACTTTTTGGATGTAACTTTTCTAAGAGTTATTTTGGTGATTTTAGTTAATAGAGTTACACGAATAAAATACTTGTAAAGTGATTTTTAATGCAGAATTTAGTGCTGAAGACGATGGTGTTAATGAAATTACGATATTTTTAATATTACGGGTTTTGTGGATGTTTTCTTAAAAAAGTACTCGCGGGGTTAGGCAGCCAACACTAAATTTTTCGTCTTTTTGTGGTGATTTTATTGGTTCTTCTAAATGTTTTCTCTTTTTTCCTACTCCAATACATTTTAAACTTAACATTGAATTTTATAAACCATTTTTTAAGAATAACAAATTTATATTTCCTTAAAATGTTCAATTGAATTTAATTAATGTTATTATTATAATATTATTGAAATGTAAATTTTTGAAGTGTACTAACAAAATAAAAGTAAGTTAAAAACAACTACCTTGTTATGTTTCACTAATTTTAACTTTAAGTTATGTTTTTTAACTATTAAAATAGTTGGCCGCCTCATCCCACGTTTTTCAAATATGCCAAAATGTGGTCCTTTGGGAAAAGGGTTGTAGAAATTTTTAAGTGCAACCTACGTCAAAATGTTCTATGGCGATTTTTTAGCCAAAAAGACAAGCTTTTTAACGTGTCATTAGAATTGAAAAAACCTATTCAAATAATTGCCTCGCAAACCAAAATGTGCCGTCTTGGATGCCTCGCCCCCAGAGATGTTAACTATTTCAAATAAATCTATTTCAAATGCAAAATAGAAAATGCAAAATGCCTATTTTCATTTTACATTTTAAATGCATTTGCCAAAAACCATTTTGCATTTTGATTTGAAATGGTTTTTTTCATTATTTTGTATTTGAAAATGCAAAATATAAGAAATTTTTTTTTATATTGTAGCAATTTTTTCTTTTAAGGAGATTCTTCGGCTAATTCATTTTCTTTTAAATTTTACCAAACTTTATGGGATAATATTCATTTTTACATACTAAAAACGGAAATTTTTAGGATCAAAGTTTCAATATTTACATAGGATTTCACATCAAGCATTCGAAAATGAGATATTTTATTTAATTGATGACAAAGTTTTCTTACAATTTTTTCAAAAAAGTAGTTTATTGTATAAAGTCAAATTAATAGAATAATATATAAAACAGATTCATAAGGGATACAATATTATTTTATGGAAAAGTCAAAAAGTTACGTAAAAATAAAGTTCATTTAAAAAAAGCATTTTATTTTGTAAAACCATTTTGAAAATGCGTATTTTCTATTTTGCATTTGAAATAACTTTTTGAAAACTATTTTATATTTTATATTTGAAATACTTTTTGTGATACCATTTAGTATTTAGCATTTGAAATAGGTTTTGAGACCCATTTTTAACATCTCTGCTCGCCCCGTTCTCCACTACTTCAATCGCTTGCCCGGTGAAATTCACGTTTGGGAGCTAAGCCGCGTTTTCTCGTGGACAGTCACATGTTAAATATGCAGTTTGAAAAAAACTACGTAACACACGGGGGAGGGGGGGGGGGTTCAGCAAAAGTCTACGTTAGTTTACGCAGGGGGAGGGGGGGGGGGTAAAAAATGACAAAAATAGGTCTACGTAGTTTATGAACGCTCCCTAATTGCGAATAAATTAACACGAATATTTACACGTGCGAAATTTGGAGAAATTAATATGAAAGATATGAAATAAAATAAATCCGTGTGGATTATAACTGCAAGTGTGAATATAAATAATAATAGGCTAAGTCATTAATGACTTGATGAATGCAATTTCGAAAGCGATAATATAAGAAGATAAAAAATTTAATTGACAGGTTGTTGACTTTAGTAACCATCTCTCAATTGCGGAACACTTTCTTCCTCGGACATTATAAAAAAAGCTTTTGCATGAATAAAGATGAATTGCAGTCAATTAGTCAAATGCGTCTCGCTTTTGTTTATAATTATGTATGCGAGTGTAACAAACTAATCTTGTATTTTTACCTTCAAGCTTCATTAAGAAGCTCGCCTTTTACAGTTTTACTATAAAAAATAAACTCCATTGAACTTCATCTTATCTGATTCCGCGCAACTAACAATGCTGAAACAGAACATATAACCTATAAATCCTTTTTTATATTATAATTCCCTCAAATTTATTGGGACGCATGATTATTCCCCAAATGTCATTTTTCCGAAATGTCATTTTACCGAACTGCACTTTTGCGAATAGTCATTTTTGCGAAAAGCCATTTTTGCGAAATGTCATTTTTACGAATAGTCATTTTTGCGAAAAGCCATTTTTACGAAAAGTAATTTTAGCGAAAAGTCATTTTTACGAATCGAAATTTTTACGAATTGTCTTTTTTGCGAATCGACATTTTTACGAATCGCCATTTTTACGAATTGTCACTTTTGCGAATCGACATTTTTACGAATTGTCATTTTTGCCAATAGCCATTTTTGCGAAAAGTCATTTTTACGAATTGTCGTCTTTGCGAATTGTCATTTTTGCGAATTGTCACTTTTGCGAATCGACATTTTTATGAATTGTGACTTTTCCGAAAAGTCATTTGTGCGAAAAATACAATAGTAAACTTGTAGGTATATATATAGATTCACTATTGTATTTTTCGCAAAAATGACAATTCGCAAAAACGACAATTCGCAAAAATGAAAATTCGTAAAAATGGCTATTCGCAAAAATGACATTTCGTAAAAATGTCGATTCGCAAAAGTGACAATTCGTAAAAATGGCTTTTCGCAAAAATGACTATTCGCAAAAGTGCAGTTCGGTAAAATGACATTTGGGGAATAATCATGCGTCCTAAATTTATTATTTATTATTTATTAATATAGAAAAACTAATTTGGCTTTAACGGCGTTCGGGCGTTGGAAGGTCTGTGAAATTTCTAGGTTACGTGAGACCTCTGACTGCGGTTTAAATGATGTGAAATAGGTAAACAAACATTTTTCAACCACTTTTTCTCTAAACACAGACACTTTTTACAAAATATGTCAACCCAGTGTGCACGTTCTGGAACTGTTCTGTAACAGTTAATGGAAATAAAGAACAGTTACAGAACGGTTCCGGAATTGTTCCGGAACGTGCACACTGGGAACGTACAACGGGTAAGGATCTTCTATAAAATACAATAATCCAAAAGATTGTTTAAATCCATGCAGAAACACGGTTCTAAAATATAAAATTTAAAAGTACAATTTTACTGTGTTTAGAGAAAAAGTGGTTGAAAAATGTTTTTTTTACATTTCACGTCATTTAAACCAGCCAGTGCCGTATTTTGTGGGGCACGATGACAACAATCAAACATAACCTAAAAATGTACACAACCCTTTTCGAGATTCCTGAAAATTTCCTAACTATTTACGGCAAAATATACATTCCCAGTGAGAAATTTCTTACCGGTCCAATATCGGTCCAATATTGGGAGCCAAGAGACCAATCATCGGTCCAATAAAGGCTCCCAATATTGGACCAATATGGGCTGATGCTTGGGATGTAACGGGTTCGCCAAGCATCGGTTGTTAATATTGGTCCAATATTGGCCGAATATTGGCAACCAAGAGAAAAAAAATTTTTTAAATAAATTTTTTTAATTAAATAATAATAATAAAAAATTAATGTTTATAATTTTTGTTTAATATATTTATCATTGAAAAATCAATGATAGGCGAGAGATATCCGCATCATTAAATAGATTCGCAGATATACTCTAGTCTCGCGACGAATCTCTCGATACTTATATATACTGGAGTCGCCGTGTCAGCTGCGAGAACGGTTACAGCGTCCCTCTTGCGGCAGAGATAAGAATTGTCACGTAAACTGCGGGTATAATAAGGCCGTCGGTAAAGCGATTTAGCAGTTTACGTGACAATTCTTATCTCCGCCGAAAGAGGGACGCTGTAACCGTTCTCGCAACTGACACGGCGACTCCAGTGTATATAAGTATCGAGAGATTCGTCGCGAGACCAGAGTATATCTGCGAATCTGTTTAATGACGCGGATATCTCTTGCCTATCATCTGCGAATCTATTTAATGACGCAGATATCTCTCGCCTATCATTGATTTTTCAATGATAGAATTTTTTTGCAGAATGCTATTTCCTAATAGCTGCTGCATTTTTAAATAATTATAATTTATAAATAATAAATTATTTATTATTTACATGAATTATTAAAAATAAATAATTAAACAAATAAATATATTCAACAAAAATTATAAACATTAATTTTTTATTATTATTATTTAATTAAAAAGAATTTATTTAAAAAAATTTTTTCTCTTGGTTGCCAATATTCGGCCAATATTGGACCAATATTAACAACCGATGCTTGGCGAACCCGTTACATCCCAAGCATCAGCCCATATTGGTCAAATATTGGGAGTCAATCGGCGCCCAGCACGGCAACCAATATTGGACCGATTAAAGTCTATTGGCAATTTCTCACTGGGTTGTTAGAGATAGCAAACTTACTAAAAACTGTTTTTCTCGACTCAGAACTACAATAATGTTCGGGAATTTATATCACCGTCCGGTGATTTGATTCGTTGATTATTGAATATTTTAAATAAAAGAAAATAAAAAATTAAATTTCTTCTTTTAAATTTTGTTAGTTTAGGGGACATTGGGAAATTGTGGCCCAACTCCATTATATAATACCTAATATTTATAAGTTTTATCATCCAATTTTTTTTATTTTCTTTTGTTCGTTCAAAGTAAATTTTTCATTATAGCATTTCATGACTTTACAACGCTTTACAATTACCTATAAACCGTAAACAACAATCACAGCTGAAAAATTGCATTCAAATATTTATTTTGGGTGTTCATGGTTTTATTGTTTTTACAAAGATTTTCAAGAATTAATTACGAAAAATATTTTTTTAATTATTGTATCATTGATACTGTGACTCCAAAAAGAAATTTTGCATCAAATTAAAGTGAATAAATAGTACAAAGATTTTTGTAAAATGAAGCATTTGGGGAATATTGTGAGCCACGTTTTTTGGAAAAGTATTTGTTGCTTGCTTTTGGCGATTTAATTGCACAATTCAAGTACATATTATTAAAATCACTCATAGCTATATTAATTTAACGAAAACAATTCGTTTCATTTCGATTCATGCGACAGGTCTGTTCATTTAAACTGTGTAATTAATTGAGCCAATTTTACTTGTCCAAATTGTGATTCAGATTAACATTTTCTTACTTTTTCTTTTCTAATTTTAAACTAATAATTAAACATTTATAACATTTTTAATATTTCCAAAAATTTAATAAATATATTTCATCGTTATTTTTTATTTTGAACTTAATTTAGGCAGTGGTCCACAATTATTCCCCAACATTTTTAAAAATCATAAAAGCGCACCGTTTGGTAAAACTGAAATTTCTTTTAGATAAGTGATGATTTTGGGAAATTGACTATGATATGTTAGTTTATACTTCCAACTGACACAAAAAATTTTTTAATTTAAAAAAAATTTTTTTGTGTAAGATATTGAGCTAAGAAAAAGTGTGGCCCACAATACCCCAATCTCCCCTATATTTAAAATTTCTATAATTTAATTAAAACCGCTGCCAAATTGTATATTTTTTTATAATTTTGGTGCTCATTTCATGAACACTTCGCTTCCTCATAGAGATAAAAATAATAGAAATATATGAATAACTTTTTATAAATATGGTAAAAGTGATAGAATTTTGTGTCAATCAATGTATTTTTAAATACCCTACAAGATATTAGTTATAATAGTTTAATAGTTAAACAAAAATGTTGAGAAAATGTCATTTTCCACAATTTTTGGTTTTTAAAATACTAATAATTTCGAAATTTGTTATCGAATTAGGTTCAAAAATAGGTCAATCGAAGCGTTTTTTAATGCTCTACAAGTTGGTAACGATAATTTTAAAGTTACTTCTACATTTTTCAATAAAATTTTCAAAACAGACTTATTTTCTAAAATTTTTGATTTTTAAAAGTTTATAATATCTCCGGTTAATATGGACGAAACATGTTCAATTAAGGCTCAAAAGATGCGTCTAAAAAAACTCTACAAAATTGAGCGGCCGGATCGTAGAAGGGCACGTAAATTTTTCTCGAGCGAAATCTAAGTCCCCTGAACACTCAAAATTCAACTTCTGAATTTAAATATTTTAAATACACATCCTTATAGAAAATTTCATTCCGCATCTTTTTTTCTTATGAAATTTTTTTCTATCTATTACCGTTTTCGAAATATTTTAGAAAAACTGTTTTTTTTAATACTGTAAATTTAATGACATTTTTCACTTCAACTCGCGATATTTCAGACAATTTTAAAAATTTTTCAATGAAACAAAAATGAAAATACGTCTTAAGGTATTCTACGAATGATAAAAAAAGAAAAAAGTGGTTTTCTTTATAAACAAAATTGTTATTAATTTTTTTCTTTATTAATGTAAAAATCACGAACTACAATCTTCACGGCTCTCGTTTAACTTGCGAATTTTTAGTAACAGAGAACTTTCAGTAAGAAAGTTGTTCATTATGATCCAAAAAAGTTTTCTGGAAAATAATAAGGTTAATAATTAATTAGTGTCGAAATGGTAAATGTTTAAAGTTGCTAGCGACCAAACGCATAGCACGCGTCACTCGCCATAGTTGCTTGGGAGTGTTGTTTCATAGGTTATGGCCAGTGGCGCGTGCTATGCGTTTGGTCGCTAGCAACTTTAAACATTTACCATTTCGACACTAATTAATTATTAACCTTATTATTTTCCAGAAAACTTTTTTGGATCATAATGAACAACTTTCTCACTGGAAGTTCTCTGTTACTAAAAATTCGCCCGTTAAACGAGAGCCGTGAAGATTGTAGTTCGTGATTTTTACATTAATAAAGAAAAAAATTAATAACAATTTTGTTTATAAAGAAAACCACTTTTTTCTTTTTTTATCATTCGTAGAATACCTTAAGACGTATTTTCATTTTTGCTTCATTGAAAAATTTTTAAAATTGTCTGAAATATCGCGAGTTGAAGTGAAAAATGTCATTAAATTTACAGTTTTCAAAAAAACAGTTTTTCCAAAATATTTCGAAAACGGTAATAGATAGAAAAAAATTTCATAAGAAAAAAAGATGCGGAATGAAATTTTCTATAAGGATGTGTATTTGAAATATTTAAATTCAGAAGTTGAATTTTGAGTGTTCAGGGGACTTAGATTTCGCTCGAGAAAAATTTACGTGCCCTTCTACGATCCGGCCGCTCAATAATTATGGAAAAACATTAATAGATGTCCTAACATTTTTTTAAAGTTATGGACAAAAAACGTTTTTTTGCAAAATTGAAAATCCAAAAAAAATTTAGTTAAACTTTATTAATCTTTCACAAAGTACTCTCACTTTATGTCCGCAGGTGAGATCTACAATTTAAAAAAAAATTTAAGCCAAAAGCACTTCATGATTTCAAGATATTTATGAAAATGTGATGTTTACACACACACACACACACACACACACACACACATAATCATATTTTTCAAAAATGTCATTTTTGAACTCCTGAGGTCAAATAACAAAGATATGTCAAAAAATCGAACTCGATAAATTTTGGTATTACAATACTTCCTCTATGAGAAAGTAATACAAAAAATATATTCTATTTGATTTTCAAAATAATTATTTATGTTTAAATATAAATCGATGAGAAAACTCATTATGAATAATAATTTTTTAGTTTCATTTTTTTGTCTTTTTTGTTTGTGGCCGTTAAATAAAAAAACAGTATTTAGAACTTTTTATTATTACACAAATTTTGTTTTATTAATTATTCCTCATTACTGGAATATAAATGTTTTTAATAATAAAATTTATTAAATTATTTTAAAAAAATAATCTTTATTTAGTACCTCTACACAACATATTGAATAAAAAAAATTAAATATAAATAAATTTTAAAAATGGTGTCTGTTATTATATACTGTATGAATTTTATTATTATTGCAATAATTGATTACAAACAGTAATTAAAATAAATTACTATTAAACAAACATATATATACCTTTTCCTCAGATTGGTAATGTAATTTATTCTTTGTTTGTAAATTAAAAATGATTTATTTCATCGTGTTTTAAAATAATTTTCTTTCTTCACCAAGCAAAAAATTTAAATAAAGAATAAAAATTTGTTTTAAATAACGAAATAAATAAACAAGTTCACTTTTTATTTATTTACTTTTTCCTCATTTGTATATTATTGAAATAAATAATGTTTATGATCGTTTATTTACCAACTCTTCTTGTTTATTTAAAATTTGTGTGACACTAAATAAAGAAAAAAAAACAGCCGATAAATGAACAATTTGAAAGAGAGAAAAATAACTAGAAAGTATAAATTCAAGGTTGGCTATAATTAATTACTCTTAATTGCTTGTAGACTATTTTTAGTTGGTATTTTTTGAATATTATGTTTGAAATATAAATTTTGTTCCTCTTGTTACAGAAGCAAACGATGTTGAATTAGTGAGATGCTATTGCAATCAGCCAGATTGTGTTTCCCAGTCTTATCTCTGCATGGGCCGTGGATGTTTCACGGAATTGCCATCAAGTTTAAATCCAGCGTCTTTGAGGCCAGAACACAGTCCATATAGTGGTTGTCTGGAGAAAAGTCTCAAGGAAAGACAATGCCCGCCTGGATATTTGTGCTGCGAAGAGGATCTTTGCAATCACATTGACAGTCCTGCCGTGAGGAGTAGGCTCAACAAAACTCTTCAAGGTCGGTTAATTATTATCCTCTCGTTACCTGTTTCATCTTTATCACCCCTTCAAGACTCGTAAATTGTTTAAGTACTTTATCCAAACGCTCGCGATCCATACGAGTCGGTCATCGTCAAAGCCAAAGAGAAACTCTTGGAACGACGCTTCGTTGACCTCTCGATTCCTCTGATTAAAGTTTTTTTTTTAATTCACTGTTTTTTCTTTATCTCTTTTTTTGCCTGTCAAGCATCATATTCTTCACTCCGCGAGTCTAGACGTCGTGGAATCAACAAATTTAATGATAATATACTCCAGTATTGTAGATAATTCATTTCGAACGATGTAATTACAAGTCGGAGAGAATTTCTAACAAGAAACTCGCCCTGATATGGAACCCTTTGGAATCTACGCGGCAAATAAAATTTTTTATTATCATTATTATATATGAAAATATTCATTTATTGAGATAAAATTATTACGTACAAATATAAAAAATACATAAATAATAAGCAAATAATTCAGTTTAAATAATTATAAACATAAAAATTTGAACAAATCTTGTAAACTGGAACCGGAATGGGAATGAATTTTCGTCTGGAAAAAATTATTCTGCAATCCTAACAATTTTTTTCTACTAAAAAATTCAAAATCCCTATTATGGTAGAAACAAAGCCATCCTTTGCGATTCTATATAGTTGACCAAAATTACACTGTAAAGAAAAAAGGGGATTTAAATTTGCCTTCACAGGGTGTCTACTATATTTTTGTTCAATAAAATTCCCGATTTTTTTTCTCATCAAAATTTAAATTTATTTGATTTCGAACATAAATAAATCTACAAATGGCTTCCAAATTTATTATTAGAGTTTTTTATGAATAATTAAATTCTTTTGACATGTTTCTTTAAATTTTTTAAAAATAATGTTTTTTTAATAATTTTAATTAAAAATTTGGAAAATAATTGAAATAAACAAAGAATTTTTTCAATTTTTTAAAATAATCTTGTCTGTTCATAATTATAATTGAAAATTTGATTAATTCAATTTTATTAAAATGTATTCATACTAATTGAATTTCTGCAAAGAATTTTACTAATATTTATAAAAGTAATTGAATCCTTCCAAAGAATGTTATTACATATTTATAAAAATAATTAAATGTTTGCGTAGAATGTTATTAAAATTTTTGAAAATAATTGAATTGTTTTTTAGATTTTATGAAAATTTATGAAAATTATTGAATTCTTGTAAAGAATATTTTTAAAAAATAATATTCAAAAGAATTTAGTGAATCTGAAGACTTTTACTATTGTTTTTTCAGTTTCTTGAAATAATTGAATTTTTTCGACGAATTTTAATAAAAATTTTAAGAATAATTACATTTTTCGAGGAATTCGATTAAAATTGTATTAAAAATAATTGAAATTCTGCAATGAGTTTTACTATTTATGAAAATAATTCAATAGATTGCGAAGAAATTTTTAAAAATAAAATTATAATTACGGTGACTAACTTCCCTTGATTATTTTCGAAAAATTTAAATAAAAATCTTTAAAAGAAGTTAATTATTTTTAATAGAATGTAAAGAAATTTCAATTATTTTATAAATTTTCAATTATTTGTTAAAAATAAAAAAATTCAATTATCTTGAAACAAAAGAATTAAAAAATTTCCAAAATCTTATTTTATTATTTTGCAGAATTTTCAAAAAAAATTTGCGAAAATTCAATTTTATTAATACTTTGAAAATTCGATTTGTTAAAAAGCTTTTAATGAAATTCTTTAATAAATTTTATTATTTTCAGTTGAATTTCACAAAATTTTTATTAATTCGATAATTTTTCTTAAAAAATATATTTTTACATACTATATTCGAATCAGTGACTGATTTTGTACCACCAAATTAATTATTTTTAACTAATTCAAATTTAGAAAACAGTATAAATATCTATAAAAATTGAAATAAAAAGCGATTTTTTAAAAAGGGGCCATTCAAGTATTACGTAAGCATATTTTTCAGGTTTTTAGACCCCCCCCTCCCCCATCGTAAGATTTTTTATATGTATTAGCGCCATTTTTTCTAATGGAAATAAGCAATAGCTAGACCTCCCCCTCCCCCTTAAATGCTTACGTATAGTACTTGAATGGTCCCAAACAAATTCAAATAATAAAACTTTTTTAATGTGGTGAAAAAATTCCCGGCTATTTCTCGGTTAGTAGACATCCTAGTTCAAAAGAATAAAATTTTGATTTTTTGATATTTTTCAATCGGATATGGCTAGCATTTTAAGTTAGACTAATACCTAAGCTAAGAGTTTGAAAAGTTTCGTCTTAATTTCTTTAATTGCCCTGACAAAAAAATTTTTCCTGACATTTCCCTGACTTTACTGACAAAAAATTTTTTTTCCTGACATTTCCCTGACTTTACTGACAAAATATTTTTTTCCCTGACATTTCCCTGACTTTACTGACATGTGGCCACCCTGAACTTTTCAAAAATCAAATAAAAACTCTACTATCGGCTCAAAAAAAGACTTAAAAGCTCATAACTCAGGTAAAAAATTCATATGATATTAAGACAACCTGATATCATCAACGACACTACTTCTATGAAGTAAGAATTCCTGAAGTGGGCCCCTATTTTTCATTGGGTCGGTGGATTTTTCTCATTCTTATATGTTTCGATAGCCTATGATGGCATAATAAAAACTTGTAAATAGTTTTCCGAAATTCGAATATTTACAAAATCCCACTTTTTTATTGTTAAAATAAAATCTTAAAAGTATTCTCTATTTGATTATTAAAAAAAAATTAAAAAAAAAGATGGAGAACATATTTTTTTTTAACCCCAAAAATTAAAAAGTTAATTTATTTAAACAAATTATATTTTTTAATTAAAATTTTGATCATTTATCTAAAGTACAGTTCTTCAGGTAAACTCTCCTCCAATTTTTATTAAAATCGGTTCATTCGATCGCGAGTAATTAGCTATTTACTAAAACGCTACAAATAACTTTGACCTTGAATAACTTTGGTAAATATTCGAATTTCGGAAAACTATTTACAAGTTTTTATTATGCCATCATAGGCTATCGAAACATATAAGAATGAGAAAAATCCACCGACCCAATGAAAAATAGGGGCCCACTTCAGGAATTCTTACTTACTATACAAAACTGTAAAATACAAAAAAAATTTTGCCTCAATTGAGGCTCCGGATCTTAAAAGGGCACTTTCACCATGTAAAGTATATGCGGAAAGTGCCCTTTTAAGATCCGGAGCCTCAATTATAAATGTTTGAATTTTTGAAGTACATGGATTGTTCTCATCATTATGAAAAGGGTCTACTCCCTTGCAAATAAAGACACAGAATTGTCAACATGAAGTGCAAATTGTGAAATAGTTATTTTCGTAACAAGGGCGCAAAATAGGTGATTTCGCCAAAGTCGTAATCACCTTTGCGCCCATGATGCGAACATAATTTTTTGTCCTAACTGCATGGAAAGTATGGCATTGAGGGCACGCACGATTAAACGCTCATATTAGTTAAAAATTAAGCTCTATATAAACATTATATCGAATGAAGTCTATAATGATAGAAGTTTTAAAATAGAAATAAAAAAATAATGTATTCTGGAAACAAAGTATTTATTTAGAACGTAGTAATTAATAATTAAACAAAACTGAAACAAGAACTTTTAAAATTGACAATTTTGATAAACGAAATGGGAACAAAACCAAATGTCTCATAATTTTTTTTAGAGAAAATAAAAAAAAATTGCAAATTTTTAAAGGTAAAATAAAACAAGTTGAAAATATTTGCAGTTATATAGTCAACTTATAAAGAAAGTCGAAAATGTCGCATTTTAATGAAGAAAATCGAATAATTAACAAGCGGGCGCAAAATACTTTTCCGCCCACTCGGAGGTAGGGGAAGCGGGCGGAAAATACTTTACCGCCCGCTGACGTCATACAAGCGGGCGCAAAATACTTTTCAAATATTTTATTAAAAAAATTTAGCATGCCAGTAGGATATATTTATCCTACTGGCGAATATTAATGAAATTTGTAATATGCTAATATGCTTGCTGATATTGACTGGAATCTTGTTCTTGACACTCAGAATTTAGATGACGCTGTTTCTATTTTTTATGACAAAATTAATCTTGCTATAAAACTCTTTGTACCACTAAAAAAGGTTAGGGATGATAATTATCCACCATGGTTTACTCATCAGCTTAAACGTCTTATATTTTATAAAAAGATAGCGCATAGAAATTTTAAAGTGTCAAATAACTATCAGGATTATCAAGAATTTTCTAGGCTACGTGCTGACTGTAAGAAATTGGCAAGGGAAGCTCATAGTAATTTTATAACTAAAGTCGAAAATAATTTAATATCTAATCCGAAGCATTTCTGGAGTTATATAAATTCTCTTAAAAGCGATACTCTAATTCCTGGGGAAGTTAAGTATAATAATGTTTCTGCGAATACTCCTAATGAAATTGCCAATCTTTTTGCTGATTATTTTAGCTCTGTCCACACTCTATCATCAAGCGATGTTCCTGTTTTTCATTTCGATAATAATTTAACTATTAATATTAATACAATAACTAAAGAAATGATTGCATTGAAGTTGAAAAACTTAAAAGTCAATAAGGGTGCTGGTCCAGACCAGATTCCGCCTGCCCTCCTCAAGTCATGCAGTTCGGTATTAATTGAGCCGTTATTTATTCTTTTTAATCGGTCATTGAAATGTGGAGTATTTCCACTTGTTTGGAAAAGAGGTATTATAGTACCGGTTTATAAAGAATATGATAAGAAAAATATAACTAATTACCGTCCTATAACGCTTTTGAGCTCTTTATCTAAAATTTTAGAAAGCCTAGTTTATGATATAATTTATAATCACGTGGAGCATCTCATTGTAGATGAGCAGCATAGTTTTATGAGGCGCAGGTCTGTATTGACTAATTTGGCTTTGTTTACTAACTTCGTGTCTTCAAATCTTGATAGGGGT